AACCGCTTTCAACTTTGGCGGTTTCCTGATGCCTTAAAGTCAGCTTTAAAGGACAACTCCGGCGCAAAATGAACCTCGGGTGTAATAACACATTGGTACAGACTAAATCGTTCCCTGAGATTTGTTTTCATGATAATCGAATATAAAGAGTTTTATCTCTAAAAACAGTTTAGCTTATAACGCTAGTATATTGGGCATCGAGTAAGCAAAAAGAGATAGCTAGTTAATACCATTAACAAGGCTCAAATTAGCCCCACACTAACACGGCAGCATAATGAGTGTCCTTACATGCAAACCGAAGCATTGAGAACTTTGTAAGTGTATAGACAGTTTAATAAGAAGATACTTTACACAGACAGTACAGTTAGCGCATACAGACAGGAGCCATCTTGGAAAAAAGTCTCGATCAATCGAACCACGAAGGTGAGCGAACAGTACGTGTAGATATTGAAGATAAGATAAATTATATTTATTTTTTTATTTTCTCTGTTGCGTTCAGTGCTTCTCTTATGCGCTCAGTGCTTTCTTCCGGAAACAACGGACCATATGAGATTCCAAGTCACAGTTCAGCTCACGTATCACCGTGTTCGTGGTTTGACTGATCGAGACTGTTTTCCAAGATGGGTCCTGTCTGTATGCGCTAGCTGTACTGTCTGTGTAAAGTATCTTCTTATTAAACTGTCTATACACTTACAAAGTTCTCAATGCTTCGATTTGCATGTAAGGACACTCATTATGCTGCCGTGTTAGTGTGGGGCTAATTTGAGCCTTGTTAATGGTATTAACTAGCTATCTCTTTTTGCTTACTCGATGCCCAATATACTAGCGTTATAAGCTAAACTGTTTTTAGAGATAAAACTCTTTACATTCGATTATCATGAAAACAAATCTCAGGGAACGATTTAGTCTGTACCAATGTGTTATTACACCCGAGGTTCATTTTGCACCGGAGTTGTCCTTTAAGACTTTAGACTTTTCTTCCATATTGTGACGAGTGAAACGGCTTCTACGTTTACACAACAATGATGTGCTAAAAACTCTGTATTATGGATGCCAGTAAAGAAACACTACTCGCCAATAGACTGAACATGCAATTCGCATGCAGACTTCACCGTTTTCACTAATTCTAATGTTTGTTGTTTACAAGCCGTAAAAGTAGATTCTCATGTGAGGTTGCCCCGCCCTGACGCCAGTAAACGCATCATCACACAGTGCATTCACACAGGGTGTCTGGATTAATATGGAAGGCCCAAAAGGCCAAAACGTGTGAAAATAACACGTAATTATGCGTTAAGACGTTAGTTTCACACATTTTGGCCTTCCATAGCGTTAACACTTTTCATTTACTTTGAATGGGTGACGTCATGCATTGCCAAACTGAATTGTGGGTTCCTTTGCGTTGCGTCATTGGCGTTGCTTGCGGCAGAAGTTGAAGGGCACATGAACTTAAAAAATAATGATGTGCACAGATAAATTATTTATAATATACTGCAATGTTCCATAAAAAATGAGAATTGTCAATTGTGATTTCATGGTGACTTTAAGCATCTGAATATTTGAGAAGCACATATATATTGGCACAAGACATCAAGGAATCACTTCAGCCTGTCTGGTATGAGCATGTGGTGACAGAACATCATGTGTGAAGTTCAGTTAATACAGATGCTTCACTAAAATAACAGACAATTCTGCTCGTAATGTCACGTTTCTGCTAAACTCCAAGTATGTTACGTAACACAGTGGCAGAATTAGTTTATATCCCAAGTTTTGTTCAAATCTATAACCCTATGAGCCATAATATCGGTGATCTTATAGCAACCACTACTAATTAAAACTGACAGAAAGATACATAGACTTCCATTAGATGCCAATTTACAAGGTAAAGCATCTCTATTTTGTGTGGCTGAATGGCAAAATGATTTGGGCTCGGATGTACACGACACAGACCGTGAAACAGATGCTTGGACTTGGCATGTAGAACTACAAAAACATCTGTTCAACAGGCTTGACAACAACTTTTCCCACTTTTGCTGAAATACTGGCCTCTGGTGGTTTACTGTTGCCATGTAGGCCTACAATATGAAGATTTACACTATGATTTTTGCACAAATTTTCGCACATTTAAAAAGATGTGTATCTGAAACCTGCTTGGATTAGTCTATGAATTCGAGTGATTTTTTCTTCCTTTATCCAAATTAATTCTTTTTGTTTCCCAGGAATAAATGATTGTTTTATTGCAGTACCTAACCTCTCCACATGGGTGTGACATAACACTGATAATTAAATATGAATGGTAAAAATGAATTATAGAACTCTAATGTACATTGTTAAATCTTCCGCTTTACTTGTGCTTTGTTATATTAGATCTGTGTGCATAAACCATGGCCGAGAGTGATGTTATTGTTAACTAAAACTATTAAAATCATTTTGGTCAATTGAATAAGCTGAAATGAAATATGAAAATTATGGAAAACTCTAAAAATGAAATGTTTAAAAAACAAAAAAATAACTAAAATGCCAAAAGCCCAGAGTGACTAAAATTAAAATGGAAACTGAAAATATATACATAAAAGCTTGTTCAGAAAATTTTAGTATTATTTGTATAATATAGTATTTCTTAATATATTCTGATTCAGAATATATTAATAGAATAAGAAATACTATATCATACAAATAATACTAAAATAACACAAATAAACTTACGGTAACCATGCAACAGTGATAACTTTTTATATTTCCCCTGACTGATATTGTGAACATTATTAAAGAAGAATGAAAGTTTTCTATAATCAACCACTTCCCTTGAACTCTTGTTGGCTTTGGTAGAATTAGTGTAATGTTTTGAAGTTGTTGTGGATGGAAAATCTCTAAAATGATGCAACAAGAAACAAATAGTTTGAATTAGTTGCACTATATGATCATCATGAATCTCATGCTTTTTATTTACGTGTTGTGGGAATGTAGAATCAGCAATGAAACATTAATAACAGCAAATGTGGTTTAGTATTTGTGTTTAAATGGTAGGCCTACATTCAGATTAAATGCTCAACAACAGTTATATACAGTGCATCATAATGGCTCATGGAGTGCTGTTGTAAATCTTGAAATCAAGTCTCTAGAGACTTCAGTTCATGGCTGACGGCATTACCATCACTTGAAGCAGATTAATAGTCGGTGCAGTTGACAAGTTGTGACGCAAGTTGCTTACAGAGCCACTTTACACCCCTTTATCTATCACCATGTCTAAAGCCTGACTTCATATCACAACTAAGCTGCTAACAGGCCCTTAAATATAACCTTATCCCATCACATCATCTTTTGATTTGGAGACAACTTCATACACTCGGCACTCGGCAGTGACTCACAATGTCACTCAGAGAGCCTAGTGTCAAGATAATATGAGTAGTGCAAGAACAGTGGCACTTTTTTATCAGAGCGTCACCCAAGGCCGGCTCCGACATGTTTGGCAATTGCATCCATGGCGTGCAACGCTTCTTGGCAGCCGTCCAATGACGGAGACGCTCCAGCTACACTGTTGATACCCAATCAGCCGCTTACGCAAGCCTTTGTGAAGTCATAACAGAGGGGTGGAGTTACCTGACTCTCAGGTCAAAATGCACTTTGAGTTTTCTCTTTCAGTCTGTCCTCAATCTAGCACAAGAGGACATTTTATTGCTGCCGGGTGTTAAGTTCCCTTGTGAAAAAAGAAGTAAATATAGGCCTACTTTTAAAAAAGTACTTAAAATAATATATATATATATATAATGTGTGTGTGTGTGTGTGTGTGTGTGTGTGTGTGTGTGTGTGTGTGTGTGTGTGTGTGTGTGTGTGTGTGTGTGTGTGTGTGTGTTTTAAATTAAATGGATTTTCAGAATTTTTACCCACTTGAGCAGGACTTAAGTAGATCTTTATATGTAACTGAATTACTCTATTGTACTGCCAAATGCATTTATGGTCAACAAAAACATTTTGAAGGGATAGTTCACCCCACAATAAGGTTGACTGCACCCATTGACTTCCACAGTACTATGGAAGTCAATGGGTGCATGCCATCAACTGTCTGGTTACCAACATTCTTTAACATGCCTTCTTTTGTGTTCAACAGAACAAAGAAACTCATACAGGTTTAGAACAACTTGAGGGTGAGTAATTAAAGACAAAATTGTCATTTTTTTGGTTGAACTATCCCTCTAATATAATTTCTATTGAAACTTGTATGTCATTTATTTAAATAATTTTTAAAATACACATTTGTAATAATGAAGTTGCTATGTAGTACATTTAAAATATCTTAGCTTTAAATGTTATATTGAATCACACACTTGCACTACAATTAAAATTACAATCATGGACTTGACGTGTTAGTCAACAGCAACATAAGTGAACTTCCTTAAAACATGACAAAATATTTTTTGAAGTGTACTTAAGTGTGTTAAGAAAGTGTACTCTCTGTCAGTACACTTAAAGGGATAGTTCACCCAGAAATTAAAATTATGTCATCATTTACTCACCCTCAAGTTGTTTCAAACCTGTATGAATTTCTTTCTTCAACTGAACACAAAAGATTTTCCTACTATGGAATTCAATGGGGCCCATCAACTGTTTGGTTACCCGTATTATTCAAAAATATCTTAATTTTTGTTTGGCAGAAGAGAGAATTCATACAGGTTTGGAACAACTTGAGGGTGAGGAAATGATGACAGAATTTTAATTTTTGGGTGAACTATCCCTTAAAGTGGCCTTTTATTTCATTAATATATTATCTGCAAGTAAAGTTCTTAAGTATTCTTTTAAGATTTGAAGTACACTACAAGTACACATTCAATACAATTAAGCGCATGCACTTCTTTTTCACAAGGATAATCTTGAGGCTTTAAGAACATTTGATCTGAATATTGAAAAAGAAATCACAAGGAATAAAATGCAGTTTTGCTGCAATTTTGCTTCATACAAAAGTTATGCATTTAGAAATAGGTTTTTCACAGAATGCACCACAAATGTAAATAAGAGAGTAATCTTTATTCAATTTTGTTCACACACTTAACATGTACATATTTACACATGCTCATTTCTACAATGAATTTTAACTATTAAACCCTCATGGTCAAGCCTTGGGGTTTGTGTCACAAATACATAATTCACAGTGCAATATGAACTCTGTGGACTCGTGTCAGCTTTCCCCATGTGCTGCATGCATGAGACAGACATCTTGCATACCCTCCAGCCTTTGCTTATAAAGAGCCTTTCACAAACCATAAACGTTGCATGTCTCCATTATGCTTGGATTCAGAGGTAACATACAACCCCCAGCACGAGGGTAGTAGAAAACAGACCTTTAGAAGACACTCCACCCTTACAGTAGTGCTATTGTACAACTGTTCTCTTTACTTTAAAGTGAGAGTGAAGATATGCATACAGTCATAGTGAGGTTCATAGCCCTATCCTCTTCATTACACCAACGCCCAGCTGTTGAGTCATCATATCTTACCCGCAGTATGAACTGGCCTGCCATACTGAAGTCTCATGCTTTTATGAGGATCCCTTGGATTCAAGTAAGGAAACTGTGACTAGAAGGACTAGAGAGATCAGGGTACAGCAGGATGAATGAACACTTTGTATCTGTCTGTAACGGGTTGTGTCTGTCCTGAGGCTCATTCTGAACATTTATTGGTAATTCCCTGAATTTAAGAATCTGTATGACACAGAGTTTTAAGGGTCAATAACTGACATTTAACGTTTGAACGGCCATTCTCCTCCTATCAAAGCAGACATGTACCTTTGCTGCTGTGGTATTCAATGGGTGAGTCAACCTGCACGGTTCGTTTTGACAGCATAAGAGTGAAGCCACAGGTCTGGCCCATAGGCCAAGGTTAGTCACCATGCTGACATTCTCACTTCTCACATTCTCTCATTATCACATGACCCATAATGCCCAGTCTCACTCACGTCATACAGCACAAGAATGGTTCACTATAGCACCAAACGACTTCAAAATACACTGGCTGTTGTGCGCACTGTCCTTCAAGCTGACATAGATGATACAGTACTTTGAATGAGTGTATACTTCTGAATCTATTACAAAATCTGTATAAGAAACCAAATCATAAACAAAAACCCACCGAGACAACGAACAGTTTTGGTCCATATTCAAGCTATATTGGGTTTCCTCAGGAGAAAAGATCCTCACCCTGCTCCATTTCTATCTGGGGCACTGTCTGTTCTCTGAGGTTAACTTCCTGTTCTGCGTTTCCTGTGTCCAGCGTTTGGCTGTGGAACCATGGGTGAATGAGGACCTCTGCGGTGGTCAGTCTCTCGCCGGGGTCCTTTCTGAGCAGACTGCGAAGTAGGCAGCGCGCCCTTAAAGACAGTCCATCGGGAAGGCAATATGTGCCCCGTCGAATCTTAGAGAACAGGGTTGCGGGGTCCGGGTCGTGGAAAGGGTAGCGGCCCACCAAAATTGTGTACAGCATGACACCGAGGCTCCACGCGTCCGCCTGCTTGCCCGAGTAACACCCGCCGCCGTTCAAAATCTCCGGACTCACGTACGCAGGGCAGCCATGCGTGTCGAACATCGAGTCGTCCTCTCCACACAGAATATGGCAGTCCTCCAGACCCTCTAATTTCAAATGGGTCCTAAAACAAACACATCATGGTTAGTACAATGACATAGGAGTTATTGTGTTGTGGTGGCTGTGAAGAATATCATAAGACTGGTTTATACAGATGTAGACTTTTTCATATTTTCTACACCGATTTTAGTGTCGAATTTTGCAGAATAGGCTGGGTTTTGGTTTCACCCAACTTTTAAGTTGGCGTTAAAGTGTTTTGCCACTTTACGTGGTGGTATTGAGCAGAACTGGTATCAACCTGTGGAAATGAATCACATTTTGCATGCTTCTGGTCACACGTGTTATACTACTGTATAATAGAGGGGTTTTCAAATGGGAATTCAGGAACCTTCAGGAAGCTGCAAAGGGGTGCATAGACAACGGTCTATGTCAAATTTGAGAGAGAAAAAAAAAATACAGTACCATTCAAATGTTTGGGCTGGGTAAGATTTTTCAATGCTTTTGAAAAAGTCTCTTTATTGGATCAAAAATAGTAATATTGTCATGGGTTGAGGTAGGGTGAGGACTCAAGGATGCAGAGGAATATGGGGTTTATTAAAGTAAAACACAAACAGAAACTACCCCATGGGGGGGGGGGGGGGGGGGGGACACTACAGACTAGACTTGACAGGAAACACACAGCCGGAGTCATCAGACAGGCAGGGTAACAACAGCATGCGGCGATGCGCGACAACGATCTGGCACAGGCCAGCAAACACAATGGGAATAAATAGGACAACAAACAAGGCAGGTAACGAGGGAGGACAGGTGGGCGAACTGAACCAATAATCAGATAACTAGATGGGCGGGGTCAGTAATGCCATTTTAAATCTTCCCTTGTCTGGCTTTTGCTACTCTGAGCAATGCCTGAACTTTGTATTTTGAGCACTTCTTGCGGCGATCTTCCCTCTTCACGATGACTCGCTTGCTTTAGTCCTCAGATGTAAGTCGCTTTGGATAAAAGCGTCTGCTAAATGACTAAATGTAATGTAAATGTTAATGTCAGACAATAGACAAGAGAGCACATGGCACAGGAAGGCATGCTAGCCATGTGCTCACATCAAACATGAAATCACACACAGGCACATGACCAACAATAACCAATCGCTAGCCATGAGCTTACACAGAACAAGACACGAACATGCAGCTAATGAGAGACACTCATAAGCCGTGTGTTCACACAGGACAAGATAACATGAACGCACGCAGCCAGTGAGAAACACTAGCTGAGTGTGACATAGCACAAGACAGAAAAACACAACAATACACACAGACAAAGACAGGAGAATACAGGAGTGACAGGTCACAAAACCAAGAAACACACTAGACTAGACCGAGGTGACAGAACCCTGACAAATATTGTGAAATATTATTACAATTTAAAATAACTGTTTTCTACTTCAATATATGTTAAAATGTCATTTATTCCTGTGATGGCAAAGCTGCATTTTCAGCATCATTACTCCAGTCTTCAGTGTCACATGATCCTTAAGAAATCATTCTAATATGCTGATTTGCTGCTCAAGAAACATTTCTCATTATTAACAATGTTGAAAACACTTCTTCATATTTTTGTGGAAACCGTCATATTTTTTTCAGGATTCTTTGATCAATAGAAAGTTCAAAAGAACAGCATTTATTTGAAATATAAATCTTTTGTAACATTATAAATGTCGTTACTGTGACGTCTGATCAATTTAATGCATCCTTGCTGAACTTGTCTCACACTTTTAAAAACAACAACTGAAAGCATAATCAAATTAGACAAAATATCACACAATGGGTGGAGTATGTGTATAATTCAGTGCATGACAGGAGATCCGGTTCTGAGGAAATCGACGTAGTTTTCTGCAGAATTTGCTCTTCCATTTCTAAACAAAGTGATGTATTGAAGCCTTCCTTTGCATGGAGATGAAATAACTCTCCGTCACTTTTGTTGAGCTCACAGACTGCAGTGCATGTAAATCACGGAAAAGACAGCCAGGAAAAGAGTGGTCTGACCCTCAAGCAGGCGCTACTACAATAAATAAAGGACGGACCGAGCCTCATCTAATTACGATCTTTGTTTAAACAAAAGCACGCATGAAAGTTTCCACAATGCACACACGTAAAATAAACACTGAAGCGCTCTGTAATGTAATCTTGTAAACTCTGGGCTAAGTTTAGCTCAATTTCCAATAGGAAACAAATCCCCTACTACTCTAGGAATATCCCTGTGGACATTAACAGAAGAGCTGATGACCCGTGAGTCTGTGGTATCCCTGTCAGTAAAACATGAGCTGCTCTGCATGCTATTGTGTTTCATCACTGGCTATCAGCCTCGGTTTGGAGGGGTTTGTGGATGACACAACTGCATTCTGCCAGAGAGGTGGAGAGAATGAGTCATAGTCCTGTGTGTGTGTGTGTGTGTGTGACAGACAGAGAGACTGAGGACAAATGAGTGCACTGCGCTGTGCTGCAGGTCTACTGTGTTCTTCCTGCACCTGTGCTGTACGCTTATGGCATCTGGCAGTGCCTTATTACCCACGAAAAGCGCTGTTACATCAGTGACGCACAAACGGCCCCTGCCCAGCCAGCCTGTGTTTGCGTGCTTGTGTGTGTGTGTGTGTGTGTTTCACAATCTAACTACAGACGCATTCCAGGTCAGTGAGCGTCTTTGTGTATGCCATCACACACTGTATCTCTGCGTTATCGCAGTTTCAACTTTTTTTGTTGCTTATCCATCACTCATCATTACCGCATTTCGCAAAAGCTATTCCAGCTATGGAAATTGCATCCGTCCTGCGGAAAGATAGTGTAAGAACAGCAGGTTTGCATAACTTGTCACTACGCTGATTGGTGCCAAACAAAGTGAAATAAAAAAGAAAAACGTTTCTTTGTGCGCTTGGTCTCAGCAAATGTCAGCATGGCCTGGTTACGTCTGCGCTAGACGCGTCTGCCGGGACAGGCCGCCAGTCTGCCAGTGTCGCAATGGCCACAGCCGGCGCTCCTCACCTACGAGTGATGCCGTATTCAGGAGTGTGTGGGTATGATCCTGAATGGTGAGTTTCCCCTCTGTCTGTATGCATTGCTATGACTCATCTTGCTGCACCCGTTGGCTGCTATGAGAGAAGGGTGACTACGTCCTCTTACACTTGCTTGTCTATTTCCATTCACTCAAATGAAAACCGATGCCCAAAGGTCAGGTGTAAAATGATGCACCAGAAATAGCGAATTTACTGTATGTACTGAGGGATGTGAAAAACTACATATTTGCTAAATCAGCTAGTCGGTAGGTTGCTTGAAAGACTAGTCGACTAACTGGTTTTAAGGAATCCCTGTATAATTAAGGTGAGTTTTGAGTACACTTGACCCCCAAACGGATGCGTTTCTTAGGGGGCATTTACTCTTTCTTTTAGCATTCAAAAACACACATTGACACGATGTAATGTAGCAGAATTAAATAATCCGAAGTCATGTTTATAAACTGTATTATTTTGAAACACCATCTTAAAAGCATAACTTTTCCAAGAGTGTTTTACTGTGCAAAACCGTCTAACAGCAAAAATGCAGCATGCTGTCAGCATGCTAAATAAAGTGTCTCTGTTAAAATACAAATAAAACATTAATAATTTATATTTAAAAGTTTTTATTTATATTTATACATTTTTAAATATTTTATAAAACAAAAATTCTAAAAAAATATTTAATAAAATAAATAAAAGTGATATTTTATATATAATACTTTTATTTATTATATATTTTACATTTGTGTAAGTAACATTTGTATATAAAAATATATAAAATAAGATTTAATTTAAATATATATATACAGTAATATTTTATATATAAAAGTTTTTATTTTTATTTAATTTCATTTTTTATTTTTTACAAGTAATATTTTATATAAAAGGTATAGTAAAATATTATGTTATAAAAATATCAAAAGTAATATACAGACATATAGATAGGTAGGTAGGTTAGCCAGCTCCAGTACGTTCCCTTCACTGGGGACCGTGGATGATTTTTTATTTTTTTATTTAGGCCATTTGCTTTTTATAATTCACTTGCATAATTCAGAGGACTCTCGGTTTCTACAGAAAAATCTCTGACGGGTCCAGAGGTCTGATTACCAGTCGTTCCTCTTACGGAAGTGAGTGTTAATAGGTTTGTTCCATTGAGTCTTTAGGGAAGCAGCACCAATCACCTGCGATGTGTCACATAGCTGTGAGGAAGCGAAAACTTAATGAAAGTAGAACTGACACTATTCAAGTATAACGCTGCTGGTGTCACAGCATTGATACATGAGGTACAGTACTGCACCTGGATTGCCCCCCCCCAAAAAAAAACTCCTGCTTTCACTCTCACAAACTGTAACTCTCACCTTTTCTCATCTGAGAACACAAACTTGCGAAGCTTGAGGTCCCCCAAAACGATGCCAACCTGGTGGCAGTGGTTCACTGCAGACACCACCTGGTAGAAAAGCTTGGAAGCCAGGTCTTCAGGAAGCCTCTTGCTGCTCTTCACAAAGGTGTGCATGTCACCAAAATCCTTCTCTTGGAAAACATAGGCTTTGCACTCCCCAAGAACTATGTCTTTGATCTGTGCAACGTTCTTATGATTTGACAGCATGCTGTAGGCTCTTATTTTCTCCTGATATTGGCCCATATCAAACACCTGCAGATTGCCAAAAAAAAAAAAAAAAAAAAGTGTTCAGTAGTATCATAAGACATTTACAATTGTGACCGGATAAAGTCAGTTCACTGGAGGTTGAATGGAGACTGTGATACTGTAAGGATCAAACACAAACAACATGCTATAAAAAGTTGAATGTCTTGTGAAGTTTGCAGCAATAATCATGCACACTCTATTTGAGTATCATGTCAGACCCGTATATCTGACTCAGATGCTGGTGCATTTGCAAATACTTGATAAAGATCATATCATAAATCTGATAGCATCCCCAGTAACCTGCACAGAGATTCTGATAGCGTACAATTATTTATATGCTTCAACATTTTTAATGTGTAGGCTATTGTGAGATTTTTTTGATCATACAGTACATGCATGCAATTGTTGTTTTTTTTAAAACAAGCCCTGCAGTATTTTACGTGCATCTTTTCTGTTTTGCTGATAATAATACTAATAATAGGCTACTGATAACAGGTGACTTTATATTTAGATTTTTGGTTATGTATAGGCTAATTATTGAAACGTTTAAATCAAATGTGGATCATAATTATATAGGTCATGTACATTATAGTATGCAGTGGTTTACCTTGCAGAGCAGTTCCTCTCCTGTGTCCATGTCTAAAGCGCTGTGCACCCCCGGTCGGTCGGTCAGGGGCACCAGCAGGAACTGGCCGATGCGAGCGGGACCCTGATGGGCTGAGGTGACGCTCAGAGGAGCTCCGCTCACCGGAGATCCCGGAGAGGAACCCAGGAGACCAGCATCAGCTGAAGACTCGCTGAGCCGCGGACATCTGCTCACGGGCTCGTCTGTGTCAAAGCGCTTGTGTCCGTGTCTCCCCGGTACCGGGTTATGAATCCACTGCACACTCATTCTTACAAACTACAGTAGGCTAGTTTATACTGATATTAGCTACCGGAGTGATCCGACGGATTTCACGAAAGCATATTCCAGAAAAGGATGTGCAATGCTCTGCAAAGGGAGACACAAAAATCCTATCAATTAATGTGAAATGCAAAAAAAGGTGTTTGTGTCATAGGCTTGCAGTTTCTCTTATCCATTGTTTTTCAGTTTTTTGCATTAGTCCGCTGAAGCTTTGTTGGACAACATTAAAGCCTAAAAGAGTATGAAGCAGCTGTGTGGTGTGAAATATTCCCGGTGTAGATCTGAGCCCGAGAGAAGGGCTGTCTGACTCAACTACTGATGCTGCTTTCTGAGCTCTACTTTCAGCTGATGTCCGATTCGAACGAGTCGGTTCATTTGAATGATTCATTTGAATCGACTTGCAAGCTTCGTTTCTCCACTGAATGGAGAATATTGGCAGTAAAACTGTGAGGTGAGTGACGTGGGTGATATTGAATCCATAAAAAAACACGATCGATACAGCCGGATCGAAAACAAAGCGATAACATCGACAATTAGCCTAACTATAATGTGTTTCAGAATCAGTAGCCTACACACATACATAATGCATAAATGTCGAGCACGTACTTGAGCGGACACATTTGAGTGATGTCTCAAAAGAAGCATTTATTCATTAATTAATCCGAATGAAACGATTCTTTAAAATGAATCGGACTTCTTAATGCTGGAACTCCGCCCGGTTCAGACTCTCTCTAGTGACACATTCATTGCAGTCTCGACGATTGAGCAATCGCCACATGCCATTCACCTTCCAGATGAATAGTAAAGCGCTAGTTTAATCAACTTTCCTTTCCCTCACCAGCCAAATCTGCATGCAAAGCGTTTTAAATAACACTTATGCAAAACCGCCTTTGTATTCTTTTCAAATGTTTACAATTTAGCCTACTCAGAATGTTTGGCATTGTGAAATCCAAGGAAGTTGCATTCATATTTTTCATTCTTCATCAAAACACATGGCCAGGCAATGATTAACTTATTTCGACATTCAGAGGCCAGAGGGTTATGTTGTGCTCATTAGTGCACTGCACTATTCATGTGCTTATTTTCTTACCAGTATACGTTTAAGATGTATCATCTTTCTGCAAATAGGCTATGTGTCAACCATAATGACATATTTATCATGCTTAGCTACAAAAAAAAAAAAGTCTGTGTCTGAGGAATCGGTGGGTTTGTACATATATTTGCAGTTCATATTTGTTAATGTGCTGATGAGTCATCGCCATAAAGAGAAAGACAAGGGAGTGGTGGTGGTGCCCTTTATAAAATAACCATAGATCTTTCTAAAGGAGATATTTGTTTAATTTAAACAGAAGGGGGATGCACAAAGAGCAGGAAAGCATATGTCTATGACGCACAAAATAAATGTGTGTCTCTACCATGTCATTTGGCATATTAGCATACCTCTGCAAATAGTTTACTAGCCTTCGGGGCACACACACACAAGACAGCGACTCCCACATTGGGTTTGAAACATCAATTGTGTGGCAAAATAAAATCGGATGCAGTTCTTAATCGACTACATATGGCTGTATGTCCCACACAGACTTGAGTATAGTCACTATTGGAACCTTTGTCTCCGTTGAGTGACCGCTCTTAATTTGGAAGGGTGTAATTGAACGAGCACCTGTTTTACTAGACAGAAAAAGAGAGCCCTGTTTAGAATAGACTCAAGGGAATGTGGACTGTTTTTGATGCTTAAAATACCAGAGCTATCCAGAGTCATTTTTCCAGTATTAATGAGAAAGGTAAATGAGTGTTTTGTGGGCTAATGATCACAGTCTAAAATAAAAAACAAATAGAAGTATTCAGAGGTTATGTAGTGTTATATTACTATTTTGGGTTCCTGCAGTTCCAAAAGAAGTATTTCAGTATACGCATTGTTCCTGTCCTGGTTGCCTGAATTCAATCGTGACAGTAGGCTATATAATAGATGGTTCGGCTGCAGGTTTGGAGTTCAAACATGGTCGGATTGAGGATTTAACATTAAAGACGGATTATTTTTAGCAATCATGTTTTTTTTTTTTTTACTGTAAAATATCTCTCTGATGACTCAAAGTATCGGATGTGTGCATTTGTCATGTTGTTAAGCAGGAACAGAACAGGTTTTCTGCGCTTCCTCTCCCTTTAGAGTAAAACACCTTAGTCTCCATGGGAAATATCTACTTCTCCTTTGTTATGACATAAACAGGTGTCACTGAGACCACACTGGATGGTATTTGTGTTGTGTTTGCATGTGATTCAGAGAACATGGCTATTTGAGGTCATTCTCGCTTGAGAGCCCTAACAGGGCTCTTTTCCATTGTAATTAGCTGACTCATTGCCAGTAGCAAAGACAAAGCAAACTGATCATTCTGTATACTCAACATCTCAGCCAGGAACAGGTGTACATTCTCCTTAGATATTTGCATGTCGGCTGGTTTAGGAGGGTGAATCTGGCCTTGACGGGAAGGCTACATCATAATTGTGGCTGAACTTTAACCATGCATATGACTGGCAAAAGCAGTCATCAAATAGGGAAGTTATGAATACTACACATGGTTCAAAAACTGTAAAACCAGTAATAGGTTTACCGCACAGGAAAAACATTTCAGTCACTTCAGATAAGGCTATCTATGGAAGCCCATTTCTGCCTCAAGAGTAAAAAAAATAAAATGGGTATGTGAGATAAGGTTTAAAATTGTGAGATTTAAAAGGATACCCATGTGAAAAAGAGGGGTGCTTAATTGTAATGAATGTGTGCGCTTGTAGTGTATTTCAAATCTGTAAAGGTATATTTAAAACTGAACTTGAAGATAATATAATGTTAATGAAAAAGGCCACTCTCGTGCCAAAAAAGTGCACCAAAAATGCACCAAAAAAGTGCATTTTGAAATAACGTCAAATTAAAAGTTTGACCTTAAAGTACATTTTAAATAAATATGTTTTAATAACCATTTGTCATGCTTTAAAAAAAATACACTTATTTATTTGCGATTTATTTATTAATAAAAAACGTATTGATTATAATTTTAACTGTAGTGTTATTCAGTTATTTCATTTAAAGTTAATATATTTTAAATGTGAACTGCAACTTTATTATAACAAATGTGAAATTCCAAATATATTTAATTACATGACATGAAAGTTACAATAGAAATTGCATTAAAATATATTTTCTTTCACCATAAATGCTTCTCAGTACATTTGGCAGCACACTAAAATAGTAATTCAAAGAAAATTAATTATTATATTAAAGTATAAAATTAATTATATATTAAAGTAATTATGGATAAGGATAAAGTATAAAAAAAAGCTCTCTTAAGTTAAAATAATTGCATTTAATATAAATTCAAAATATTTATATTTACGTATTCAGGTTGGAACTTTTAGCTTGTATTCATAAGTCACATGTGTTCCTTTGTCTTAGTTTACTGCCACTCATTTGTTTCCATGGACACTAACTCAATCATCACAGCTGTTCATCATTTAGTTCATCACAATTATGTATTTAAGTTCCTCCCTGTTCACTCTCAGTTTTCAGTCGTTATTCGTGGTTGTTTTATGCATTTTCTGTTATGCCTTATGAGTTTCCTTTATTATTAAAGACATTTTCTATTGCAACCTGTGGACTCTCATCTTCATATTTATGACAATAAAACATTTTAATGGCAAATAACATGCAGTTAAGTGTCCGAAAACATTATATTCAGTTTGTACTTAAGTATATTCTTTTAAAGTATATTCTTTCTGTAAGTACACTTTTTAAAAGTCTGCTAAAGGGTAGTCCACCCCAAAAAAATAATAATTCTGTCATGTCATTCCAAACCTGTAAGACTTACTTTCGGAACACAAAAGAAAATATTTTGAAAAAGGTTGGTGACGAAACCGTTTTGGTTACCAATGACTTCCATTGTGTGGACAAAAAAAACACACAAAATAAAACAGACATTTCTCAAAACAGGTCATACAGATCTGGAACAACATGAGGGTGAGTAAAGGATGAAATATTTTTTTTTCTTTTGGATAACTATCCCTTTAAGGTCACACTTATTAGACACAAAGTAGTGATTGTGAGAAATAAAATTGCAGATATAAAGTCACAATGACCTTTTATTTTGTATTGCGGATCTAGACATCCATAGAAATCCGAAATGTCATGTGTCGTTTTGCATTCCTGTAAATATTATTTCAGAGCAATCAAGGTTGAATAAATAATGCTATTAAAAAAACTATGTTTATGAGTAATTATTATGAAAAAGAAAAATAGATGGCATGATTGAAATGGTGCAGTGCGGCTGACAGTTATCTTAGGAGCTGTCAGTGTCTTTTCCCACAGCTTGGGGTCAGAAGGTCAGGAAGATCAGTGGCTACCGTGAGCAGATTGTGAAACAAACAGCACCACGGTAATTCAATCACGAGTCTTTCCTCTTCAGCGGCTTTGGTTTGGTGCAGGGACTTTTAAAGTGTTGCATCTACAGCTAGGCTCATAAAAGTGGCAGGATTTTGAAATCCTCATGGTTTACGAGACATAATACGTTCAGCCACGTTGGCTCACATTCAACACCACTAAAACGCTCTTGTAAACATTCCACGGTTGAACCAGCATCAAATTTCAAACGGGCCAAGTCGAACCATTATTAAGTTTTCACGGCACGCAGCTTCTGTATTTCTACTGAACTTTTCCCATGCGCCGGAGTGTTTTTCTACACCGTGTTCTTCAGGATCCAGTTACACAAGAGAAAACTCCAGTTTGTTGTGGTTAGTGTTATCATCAACAATCAACTGTGATGAGTAAGAGCTCATCCTGTAAGCCTGAGGAAATAAAGTGTTATGTGGCGGCCAAGGGCAGTTCCCCACACCACACAGGCGCCAGGCTTCAACTTCAGTCAAGAAAATAAAAGTACAGTCATTCTGAGAGACAGGGCATCTCTTAGTCTTACAACCATATGACCTTAAGAATGAGGTTTGGAATGTGGAGCTGTGTTGAGATTCTCATATGATGCCTTAGCGAGATCTGCGTTTGCGAGGTCTGCCGTAATATCATGCTGAATTCTATTAATAGTTCTTTGCCGGTTTAAAAAGCATGGAGC